TATAAACAATATGGGAATTTGGACGTTGCTCATTCCAAACTGCCTCCTGCTGGAAGAGGGCGCTGTTCATACCATGGGGACCATGACAAAACACAGAAACCTATAGAAGTCCTTATTTTCGTGGTCTGTAAGGCTGCATCATCTTAACTGTCTTAATTGTTGGAACACCTGGCCCACTGCTTCCGGGGTCTTGGTTCATCAAACCACAGAAGCCTGGAAGGAATCCACAGCTTTTCATTTTCTGTGGAAACATAAACAAAAACTCTTTTCCCAAGTAACCGGTCCTTATATTTAAAGTTAAAGTTCAAAGCATTTTTGAAATATGTAAGTTGGATTAATTCAGCCACATTTACAAGCAAGTATATTTTAGCAGTTTTATCTTCTTTAGCAATCAAAAAACTGAAAAACACAATAGCATACAGTATCCAGACTCTTTGTATATTTTCCATGGCTTTTTTATGTATCTATTATTATTACTCTATTTCTTTTACTTTTATTTATGTATTTATTTCTCTGAGACAGGGTTTCTCTGGAAATCTGCCTGCCTCTGCCTCTGGAGCAAATCCTACTAGTGTGCTCTATGGAGACCGTCCTAGAACTATCTCTTGTAGACCAGATTGGTCTCGAACTCACAGAGATCTGCCTGCCTCTGCCTCCAGGGTGCTGGGATTAAAGGCGTGCACTACCAATGCCCGGCTTGTCTATTTATTTACCACTATGCTGTTTTTTTTCTCTCTTAATCCTACATATATTTTTAAACACACTGTAAACCTTTAGAGGTTTTTCTTCATTTGAATATGACGTTACTGTAAATGTTTATGTGTTTCTGGCCACCTGACTTATCTGCTAAAAACCATGGCTGTTTAAACTGCATTTTTCCAAGATGGCAGGCGTAAGTTTGACTCCAGCTCATCGACTCAAGTCTATGCTGACATCCAGCAAAAGCTGCCAGCTTGGAGATGTGGTCACTGCCACTTCCAGTTGTACATACACACCTTTTAATTGTTAGCAGAGCCTCTTAAAAGAACCTTGCTGGGGTTTTTTATGTTGAGTCAGGAAGACTCCCTTAAGTGAGTCACGTGAGTCTCTGCTTGTTACTAGCAAAACAGAGCACACCTGAGAAAAATACTGTTACCAAAAAGCCATGCTTCTCTCTGTTCTTTTGTTTCTAAAATTCCTTTTAAGCCTTTTTCATTCTATGTGGAAATTCATATCCCATTTCTGACAACCATATGTAGAATGTAGCCTTCCTTGCCTGCCACTTTGGTCTCCCACCCCCCCCCCAATCAGCCACCTGGGCTCTGCCACAGTTGCAGTCCCCAAATAACACACAGGAGGCTATATTAATTATGAAGCTGTTGGCTGTTTGCTTGGTTTCTTACTGGCTAGCTCTGACTTAAGTATTTAACCCATAATTGTTAATGTAGGTATTTCTCTTGCTGGAGAAAAGGGTGCAGACCTCTTACTTCTATGGCGGCTACATGATGTCTGCCTGTGTCTCTCTTTCCCATAATCCTCCTCAACTCCTAGTCCCACCTATCTTGCTTCCCTATTGGCCAACAGTTCTTTATTGACATATATACACAAGACTTTCAGATCAGCTGTGGGTGTCTGCCTCTGCTTCCATCAGTCACTGGATGAAGGTTCTGTATCCCAGACTCTCTGGTAGTGGGATTTCAAACTGGCACTCGCCTGTTCCATGTCTGAAATCCATATATGAGTGAGTACTATCATGTTTGTCTTTTTGTGACTGGGTTACCCACTCAGGATGGTTTCTTCTAGCGCAGAAGTTTTTTTCCACTGAATAGTTCTCCATTCTGTAAATGTACCACATATTCTCTATCCCCTCTTCATTTGAGGGGCATCTAGGTTGGTTCCAGGTTCTGACTATTACAAATAATGCTGCTATAAATACAGTGGAGGAGATGTCCTTGTTGCACGAGTTTGCATCTTTTGGGCATATTTGTGCCCTGACCAGCAGGGCACAACCAGGGGAGCCCAACAGGAACCTGGAATGAATGAGACAAGAGACAGATGGACAGCAAGGCAGACCTTCCAATCAAACTGCATTTATTGAGGGTCTTGTACAGGCTTATGTAGAGGAATGTGGGACTGGCCATGGGGCGGAGGTTGTTCGATTCTTATGCTGAGAAGTGGGGGGGGATGTTAGGAACACTGAGCTTTTGATATGTGAAAGAGCAGGAGAGGTCACAGAGGAGTGCAGGTGTTAGGAAAGCATTGTTAAGGATGGGTCATCACTATGGCTTCAGGCCATCTGTGGGAAGGCACCTGAGTTTTGGGAAGTGCCTTGGAGCAAGATATAGACTTAATGTTATCTGGTCCTTAACATATTTGGCAGCCGTTTCTTCCTGGATGCTACATAAGGAAGCAGCCTGAGGCAGTTTAGAACACAGTCCTGAGACTCACCTCCGTGGAAGAGAAGGGATAGATGAACACAACCACCATGCAGAATTCAGCTGACCTACAGACCAAAGTTGCAATGCAGTTAGAGTTGCCAAGCCTTTGTAGCAAAATGGATCAACCCTTATATATGGTCACTTGAGAAGGGCCACAGCCGGTTGGCTCTCTGCATCTGATACCATTGTTGCCCATACTCCAGCAGCTGATGGCCAACGTTTTCTGAAGCAGGAGTCCAGATACACAGCATAGTGGTATTGAAAAACCCCCCAGAGTGGGGTCAATCCTCACTCAAGTCTCAGGATAGGCCGATGCCCCAATAATTCAAGAGAGACGATTCGCCAGGCGGTGGTGGCCTACGCCTTTAATCCCAGTACTCGGGAGGCAGAGGCAGGCGAATCTCTGTGAGTTCGAGCCCAGGCTGGACCGACAGCCTCCAAAACAATACAGAGAAACCCTGTCTCATAAAAACCAAAAAAAAAAAAAAAAAAAGAGAGACCATTCTTGATACAAGCACACGAGGTTTATTCGGAGAACCAGTGCACTGGGGCCGAGCTCATGACCCTCTCAGGGGCTGAGGAGTTTGACCCCTAGTAGCTGCAGTTGGGGGTTTTAAAAGGGAGAAACCGAATCAGGGAGTTAGGCAAACACCATAAAGGATGAGGAAGCTAAATGATAACTTATGTCTTAACGGGAAGGTTATCTTAAGCAAGCATTCTTTGGGCATTGTACAGTTAAGCATTGATCAAGAATGTGGTGAGCTAGTTCCTGGATCAGGGAGTGTTATCTTTTAAGTTTATCTTGAGGTGTCCGGTTTCTCAGGAGAGGGCAGAAGGACAAGTTACTCTATGATGGGCTAGTCGCTAGGGGTCTAAAAAGGTTGAGTTGGGATCTCTCAGTATTTGCCTCTAATTCCACCATTTAGGAGACAGATGCAAAGGGATCACTGTCGGTATGAGGTCACAAGGTCTATAGAGTAAGTTTCAAGGCCAACCAAGATAACATAAGGAGACCTTATTTCAAAACAAACAAAAACAAGGGTCTGGGCACTGCTTCTCCTTCCTATAAAATGTTTGTATATACTGTGTTTTCTGTGAGTGCATGTTCTCCCTGCATGTATGGAATGCTCTATGGGTGAGCCTGGAGGTCAGAAGAGGCATTGGCTGCACAGAAGTTGGAGTTAACAGACAGTTGTGAGCCACCCTGTGGATGCTGGGACTCAAACCTGGGTCCTCTGCAAGAACAACTCTTAACACTCAGCCAACTCCCAGGCCCCAGGGTGGTAAGATTGTTAATACTGGGGGCCAGTGGTGATCATCAGGTCACTGAGAGCCCTCCAAGGGAGCAGTGGCTCCTTTTTGTCCCTATTAGAGATCTTCATTTTCTTTGCCAGTCATGAAGTAAAGGAGTTGAGTCTTCCATGCTTCCTGCCATGATGTTTTTCCTTTTAAACTGGATGAGAAATGAAAACAGCACAGGAAACAGAGAGATGGCTCAGTGGTTAAAGGGAACCCTGCTCTTACAGAGGACTGAATTCTGTCCCCAGGCCCACAGCAGTGGACTCACAACACCCTCTAGCGACAGCTCCTGGGATCCAAAAGCCTCTTCCAGTCTCCAAGAAAACCTGCACACAAACATACACACAAATTAAAATAATACTTAAAATTTAATGCAAAAACTGTTACCTAATTGTTTTTATGCTGTCATTCTGGAGAAGACCCAAGGGCTCTCACACACAAGGCAAGCAGTCGGCTACTGACCTGTTTGCAAACTCCTTCCCATGCAGACTTCAGCAGAACTACAGCCCAAAGCTGACATGCAGAGAGAGGTGCCAGTGTTTGGGCCAACCTGGACAGGCCATTGTATGTAGCCACCTGGGAAGGGTACCACCTCAGGCCAGGTGATTCTCTGCAGCTAAGGCCACCTGATGGCCACTCCAGCACTTGATGGCAAATGTTTCCTCAAACCTGAGTCTAGGCACCTGGAAGGATGGTGAATAACTTTCATCTCAGAACTGGGGAGGCACAGCCAGGTGGATCACTGAATCCAAGGCCAGCCTGGTCTACATAGAGAGTTTTAATACAGAGTTTGAAATACAAACCCAAGTTTCCTTCTGTTTTGTTGTGATTTTTCTTTCTTTTCTTTTGGTTTCTTTGTTGTGTTTTAGTTTTGACCTCTATTGATGTTTTGTCTTACCTTTTATCTGGAAGAAGGACTGAACTACATTCAAGAGTTGAAGGAAGGTGTGATAATTTTCCCCAGCCAAGTTTCAGGGACAGGTAAGGACTCCCATGTCCACTCCCTCTACCCTGACACTGACATCTGTGAAAATAGCTCCAGGCTGGGCTGTGCTCCATCCCCCACCCATCTGTCCATCATGCTGTAACCCAGGCCACCCCTACAGGCTGCTTCCCTTTAGAGCTCCAGGCCATTAGCTGAGGCGGTGACCTTGACCTAGCCTGGACTGTTCAAATGAAGGGTCTGCCTCAAAACAGTGTGGGTTGAGTTGACCCGCAGTGACCTGCTGTGACCAGTCATGCAGTGTGCCTCTTAAGACAGTGCTCCACCAAGCCTTGCCCACACATAAAAAGGCCGGGCTGAGCTGGAGAAAACATCACCTCAGCTGAGTCGTAGACGCAGAGCACCAGCACCATGGGCTACCCCAGTCTTGCTTGCTGCCTGCTTTGCCTAGTGTCTCTGACCTCTGCCTGCTACATCCAGAACTGTCCCCTGGGCGGCAAGAGGGCTGTGCTGGACGTGGACATTCGCAAGGTGAGTCTCGCCCATCCGGTCCGGTTCCGGCAGCGCTAATGATCAGAGAAGACACCCACACTCAGAAACAGAGCATCATACACTCTTGCCAGCCCCACCCCAGCTCCCATGGGAACCCAGGGCATTGGGGAGGGTTAGGTGCCCCTTGACGCCCTCAAGGCAGACACAACACCTGAGCCCTGCCACAGTCCCAATACTGAACCATGCCCCGGTGAATGTGCAATGTGCCCAATTGCGTCCTTTCCCCCAGTGCCTTCCCTGCGGCCCCAATGGGAGAGGGAGATGCTTCGGGCCTAACATATGCTGCTCTGAGGAGCTGGGGTGCCTCATCAGCACCTTGGAGGCACTGCCCTGCCTGGAGGAGAACAGGCTGCCCACACCCTGCCAGTCAGGTTGGAAGCCCTGCAGGAACTCGGGCTACTGTGCCACCCAGGACTTGTGCTGCACTACAGGTGAGCAGGAGGGGGCTGGTAGGACTGCCCTGGAGGGACATTTCGGGTTCGCAGCTCAGGCCACTGACCCATGTTTCTTGCAGAGGATTGCTTCATGGATTCCACCTGCAACCGTCCTGGGTCTGCCTTCTCCAAGAGCTGAGCCCACTTGGTGATACATTTAGGGTGCATCCTTCCCTTCCCATGGCCATGGCCAGAAAGAGTGACAAATAAAACAGATTTCTTCTTCAAACTTGACTGCTGTCTCATTGCCTGACAGGGGTCGGGGGAAACATGGGGATCCATGGGCCCTGACCATTCAGAGCAGGAACAGACCAACAGGCTGGGCTGCTGGGGGACAGAGGACATCACCACCCACCCTACAGGTTAGCCCCACTTTCCACTGCCTAATGGGGTGGGCCTGCGGCAGACTGACCTAAGAGCAGCATTTGAAGGTCCCAAGAGCAATGGTGGACATCTGTGCAAAAGACAGGCTCAAAAATATACGTGAAAGAGGGACTGAATAAGGGGGAGTCAGACAGGCTGAGGAACTCATCCAGGCTCGTCCTGATCTGAGATTCAGACACAACCTCAGGAGGTGAGGGGCAAGCCTGGCCTAGAAAGAAGGGGCTTGCAGGGAATGGTCAGTGCAGACCATAGGTTTCCCCAGAGCTGGATTCTCAACGGGCATCAAGGAGGCCACAGCTGGAAAAATCAAGAACCCACAGCCTCTCCTCTGCTGTCTTCAGGTGAGGCACCTGAGCTCAGGGGCCCTGCTTCTGCCTCTGCAGGACAGCATGGAATCTAAGAGCCTGTGGGCACAAATGACCATAAACCTTAGACTCACAGGCAGACTGACAACCACAATCTGTACTGCTCACCTGTTGCTGGATTAAAGCACCCCACACAAGCCTGCCTCACTCAGCTGCCTGTGTTCTCAGCGGTGATGGCAGAAAGCACATGCCCCTCCTCCACTCCCACTCAGGGGCAGCCGGTCACTGTCTGCTGGAGTTAAATGCCATGGCTCGTGTGGAGCCAGTGCTGGAGATCTTGTCCCACAGTGAAAAGCACTGGGCTCCACGCCATCACAGCAAGGAAAGAAACATACGAGCACTTCCTGTGGACCTCACACCCAGGAGAAGAACACACATGATCCCGTCACCACATACGGGACTCACAGATTGGGGGGGAGGAAAACATACATGAAAGAGACTTCAAGATTGATTTCTTGTTCCTTATCTTGTTTTTATTTTCTGGGGCTGGGTTTTGAAGATTTTCTATATTTTGTATATTATGCATACTGTGTTCTGCCAGAGTGTATGCCTACGTGTCAGGATGGGGCAGCTGACCTCATTATTGATGGTTGTGAGCCGCCGTATGGTTTCTGGGAAGTGAACTCAGAACCTCTGAATGAGCAGCCCTATCGTCTGTGTCCTCTCTCCAGCCTAGAATTTGATCAATAACGTTTCTTCATTTCTTTATTCTGTGTGGGGAAGACGGTGCACACTTGCCACAGCCTGGATGTGGGAGTCAGAACACTTGGTGTCTGTTTGTTTAAGCCCCTTTGCTTCTGGAGGCTGCAGAGGGGAGACAAGCATGGACTGTGAACTCTACAAGTGCCCTTCAGTGGCTCTGTAGTTGGGTAAGCGACTCCCTGAAAGGGAGAGACAGAGAGAGAATAGGAAGTCCACTGGACAGAAATAATCCCTCTCCTAGAAGAAGAGGACACTGAGTCTTCGAGAAGCAGGTGAGGGAAAGTGGTGTTACAATTCTCCAGCAGGGCAGAGGAGTGGAATGAGGGATCTCAACCTCATCCTGAAGCTGCCTGTATACCAGGCCCAGGAACCCAATGCAGTGTCGTCAAGCCACCAGCCACTCCTTCCTCCTTCTCATCCTTTTTTGGTCTGGTCTTTTCCTTGGCCTCAACCTACGGCAGCTCAGGCCATGAAAGGGCCCCATAGGAAGGAGGCTGGGGTAGGAGTCTGCCTGGCCCCTGTACCACCTGGTTAAACACAGGCATGCAGAGAGACTTAACGGTGCTGAGACGGGGTTGACCTGGAGACTGGGTAGGGCACCTTGACTCTGTCCTGATGAGCCACCCTGTCAGGTCACTCAGACTGACCTCCATCTTCTACAGTTGCCCCTGAACTCTGAGCCTGTAGAACATCCCAGTTTTGGGGTCTTTAGCTTACTAGGCAAAAGCAAGTTTCATGTAACTGATCCATAAGTTAGTTACCTGCTGTGCTCCATCATGGGCATTGCTGACTGGGTCTGATCTTCTGTGTGTGTGTGTGTGTGTGTGTGTGTGTGTGTGTGTGTGTGTGTGTGTGTGTGTGTGTGTGTGTGGTGGCCAAAAGTCAGCCTAAGTGTCATTCCTCAGGACTCTCTCCCCTTGATCTGTTCTTTCAGTTTTTTTTAAATTTTGTTTTCTTCTGTTCTTTGAGGCAGGGTCTTTCACTGGAAGGTGGGGCTCACTGGTTAGACTCCCTGTCCTGGTAGCCTCAGAGACTCCATGTGTGTCTGCTTGCCTGGCACTGGGAATAGACACACTGGCTGTCATGTTTGGCTTTTATGTGGTACCAGGAATCTAACCCTTTCCTTCATGATGACATTACCTGCACTTTAGTGATTGAGCTGTGTCCCCAACACCTGCTGCTGTCTTTTTACTGTCGTTGTCCTGAACTTAAATGCCATTGAAATGAGGTAAAGAATGCATTCAAAGTAAAGAATTTAGTTACTTTCCATAATTCTGAGGGATTTGGAATCCTCAAGAAGCTTCGGGGTCTGTGCAGCCTCTTTTTCCAGTGCAGAAGCAGGTGTTAAGGTACAAAGTAGAGGTGGTGTCCTGACTCAGACCCTGACAGGCATGGCCCCTCTCTCCCTGACGGATCAGAACACAGTGAGGCCCTGCATTCAGATACCTCAGGTAAGCTGAGGGGACCATGTCCTGAGCAATTAGTACATGGCTGACTTTGTTGTCACAGTGAGAAGTTGACCTGAACCCCAGGAACTCTGCTCAATGGGTAACCCTACCCACCCTTGCCCAGGATCTATCTCCCCACTCACATTCAAATTCTACCAAGACACTTTGGGTCGTTGCCCCTTCCACCTTGGAGGCTAACACAGCATGAAGGTGAGTGCAGTCATGGCCTTTGGGGTTAGGTTATGTCATACAGAACAAAAGGAGGCAGCCTGGGGATGTTTGCTGGTAGAGTGCTTGCCTAGTGTGCACGGGCCCTGGGTTCAGTCCCAGCACTGCATAGCCCTGCTTTCTGGAGTGAAGGCAAGAGACCAGTAGAATCCAAGGTCATCCTCAGCTACACAGGAAGTTTGAGCTCAACCTGGATCCTCATGAGACTCCAAAAAGACGCCCAAGGGTTCATCAGGTAGACAGGAGTGAAGGTGCCCTTCTGCTGAGTGAAGGCAAGTGGCTTAAGCTTTGACTATAGGCTAAGGAAAGCTGCACTTGCCAGTTCAGTAGGTGTGGGATAATTTGTCAGTCTGTGAAATCTAGGTCTATGAAGGACCTAGGTCTAAACCTAAAGTCTTTGTTCAGTTTATTCAATTTAAAGTTTCTCCTGAAGCACAGGGATCCTACAGGTCTAGAAATCTTCAGCATTCCCCTGTGATTTTGCAAGAACAATTAATCTCAGCGCGTAAGCCTATAGAATGCTAATGAGTGAGTCTGGCAAGAAAAAATCAAATTTGGAATTATACTTTCTTGTCAAATAAGTCCAAAGCAGCCGGGCGGTGGTGGCGCACACCTTTAATCCCAGCACTCGGAAGACAGAGGCAGGTAGATCTCTGTGAGTTCGAGGCTGGGCTGGACCGACAGCCTCCAAAACAATACAGAGAAACCCTGTCTCATAAAAACAAAAACAAAAAACAAAACAAAAAAAAATAAGTCCACAGCAAACCTGGCTAGTCTAGTGGTGATGCTGGCCATTTCCTCTTTGGATGCCGTAGCAAGTATGTTTGACACAGGGAAATACATAAAAACTGAGTGGAAACATGAATGTGTTCCTTTTCGAGGAACAAACCAGATCACTGCCATGCCCACCTCCAGGGCTAAGTCTGTCATCGTGTCCTTTCCTTTCCTTCTTTTTTCCTGAGACAGGAGCTCTCCCTGGCTATGCTGCAGCTCCATAGCTCCACATGTAAACTAGACTAGCCTCAAACTTACAAAAATCCACCTCCCTCTGTGGCCTATGTGCAGAGATTAAAAGTGTGTACCTCAGGTCCAGTTAAGGGTTAAATTTCTAAAACCTTGACATGTATAACCTGTCAATGGAAATGGGAAGATGGCTCTGTGGATAAGAGCCAGTATTGGAGCTTGAGATATGGCTCAGGGGTTAAGAGCACTGGCTGCTCTTCCAAAGGTCCTGAGTTCAATTCCCAGCAACCATGTGGTATCTAAAACAATCTTCTATGAGATCCTGTTATCCTCTTTTGACAATTGTATACATAATAATTATATTAATTAATTTAAAAAAAACCAGTACTCCTTCAGTGACATATGAACCCCATGGCGACAGAGATTTTTCTCCTCGTGCTGACATGGTACCCAAGGCTTCATGTAAGTAACCTTGCATATATGCTACACAAGTGTTCTCCACCTGAACTGAGGTCCCAATCTGCGACAGGATTCTGTCTCCTGTTTACCTTGTTTACCGGTGTTCTCAAGCACATAGAAGTTGGGGAGTACATGAAGTCACGATAGTTTTGCGAGAACATAATGTGAGGATTATTATATTCTAATTTAGTGCGTACATTATCTTAGATGAGATCACTGTGCTCACAGAGTAACTGGGAGGCCTCTCTGGGGTATTTTGGGATCAAGCTCTTGGCCTTCTATGCCAAGAAAGCCAATAAACTAATCAGGACAAGAAATGAGCTGATTGTAATGTAATTCAACCTGATACCAACTCAGAGGTTGATAGTTCACACAGTGACTCAGGATCTGTGACTCAGTTGCATGAGCTCTGGAATAGGCTTTGCCCCCTTGACTTCAGTCCCTTGTGAAGAAGCAATCAACCATTAAGACAAAGACCCTAAGGGCTTTTCCTTTCTCCCTTAGGGCAGAGACTGCATGTGGTGGGCTTGTCTCTGGAGCATTGGCTGCCATTTCTTCCTGGATGCTGCAGGGCACTTCCTAAGGAAGCAGCCTGAGACAGAGAGTAGTTGCAGTCGAACTTGTAGTAGTGGTCACTCCCTTTGGGTGTGGTTTCAGGTGAATAATTGTGTTAGACCCTT